GACACAGCTCGGTTACGAACAGATTACTCGGTTACAGTTTTTATAACAAGTGAACACTGCATGTTCACGTCCCAAATGTCTACCCTCTGTGTCCCCCACTAAAATTGCGGACTGTTCGCTGGCAGCTATGGATCCGTGCGCCCGCCAATTGATTCGGCGCACGGATCCATAGCTGCCAGCGCTGCATACTGTCGTAGGACGTTCCCGCGGTCGCGTGCGCCTTGCCGCGGAATTGCGCGCAACATCTGCGCTTATAGCGCTTGGGATCAACACCTCCTTTCGGCAACGCTTCTCTAGTATCCCGTCTCATCTGGTTCAAGTAGGCAGTGCCAAATGGCAGAGTTATAAATCGAACAAATTGACATTTAGCTATGCATAGATACCAAAATGGAGGATGGTGGTTGTATATTTGTGTTGTGATAGTGTGAAACAAAGCGAGCGTCGAGCAAATTTTGCGATCGTGCTTTCCTACCTGCTCTTTATTCTTGTTGTTTGTGCACGGCTTTGTGCGTGCGGTGTACAAGTTTGTGTGTTGCAGAGGAACATTTGAATGGCATTGATTTACAGAAAATTATCGGCAATAATAGGCGAAAGAGAGTAGAGAAACATTAATAGGCTACTTCAAATGGTAGTAAAAATACATTTCGTGTTTATTTACCATCATTTTTACTATCGAAACCTTTCAAGTGCCTGTGGTATACAGCATTAGGTGCATATGCAACACCTTGCAATTTGAATACTGATAATTGATGTGGCCCCCTCTTTTCTATTGTCAATTGGACTCAATCCTACTAGTTTGGGACCCCGGCCCTCATTTTTAGCTCGCCTTGACATCGTCAAGATGAGCTATTGCCATGGGGCGTTGTCCGTCGTACGTCCGTCGGTTAACATTTGGCTACGGTCAACGATAACTTGAGAACCGTTTGATCCACGTTTCAAATTGCATACAGTTGTTACTCCTATGGGAGAGATGTGAACGTTCTATTTTGGAGCACGCCAATTGACCTACTTTTGAGCCATGCCCACTTTTTTGAAAAAATGGAAATGGCTATAAGTCAGTTCAGGTTCAACGGATTTTGCTCATTTTTGGTATGTGAATGAATAAGGACTGGCCCCAAAACATATCACACAGGTTTTGATGTTTTTTTTAAATTATTTGCAAATTAAGTAGATTTTGGCAATTTCACTATGCATTTCAGTGTTTGCCTACGGTCAACGATAACTTACGAACCGTTTGATCCACATGTTTCAAATTGCATACAGTTGTTACTCCTATGAGAGAGATTTGAACGTCCTAT